TCAATAGCTAATAATTATAAACTAATAGAAAATCAACAGCTGCCGGTAATTCTTGATGAAATAATGAATGTGGAGATAAAAAGAACCTGGTGGCTATTGCAGAACAAATTATATGAATAATTAATCTTATAAATATGGGTATAGAAATAAGATCATCCAAAAACGAAATTATAGAAATAATAGATAATACAGGTAAAAATTTAATAGAGTTCGTAAAAGAAGAAGTTAAAAAATATTCATAACTACTAAAGCCAATTATTATTACTGTAACTATTGCAAGCCCTCCACCCCTAGGGGTAATTTTACTATGAGCTCTGCGCTTGTTTGGGATATCTACTAACCCTAAAGATGGAAGAACAGGAATTAAAAGCCGGGTGAGGAAGCTAGTAGTCATAAAAGCTAATAAAAATAAAATACTATAATGAAAAAAAATCTCCATAAAACCTAACTATTAATGGCTTTGCTACCTGAAAAAAAGATTTAATTATAAATTAGTAAGACTGATTTTGCTAGGTTCAACTCCTTGTTCTAACATTTTTTTTAGGCTCTCTATTTTTATAGGCAATTCAGTTAAGGATAAGCTTGTCACATTAATGGCAAATTCAGTTATTATATTTACGTTTATATTATTTATTTCTGCTATACCAGGGTATACAAAAAATTGTAATAAGTGAATATTTGGTTTATCTAGGATTTCGGGCGTATAATTTTCTATTAGTTTATAATTATTAGCTATTGAAATTTTTATTAATCCTTCTTTTAAATTAACAATTAGTAATGCATGTTCTGGCAGGATCCCAAGCTCTCCTGCTGTTCCAGGGATTGTTACCATAATTGCTTCTTCATCAAATAAGATGCTAGTAGGAGTTATAATCTTCACTCGAAGAATTTTATTCATTTAGTTACTCTTAACAATTTTGTCTTGGAGCTTTTCACCTTTTGCTACAGCTTCGCTAATATTACCAACCATATAAAAAGAGCTTTCTGGTAAATGATCATACTTACCTTCTACTAGTCCTTCAAACCCTTCGATAGTATCAGTGAGGTTAACAAACTTTCCAGGAGAGCCGGTAAATACTTCAGCTACATGAAAGGGTTGAGATAAAAATCGTTGTATCTTTCGTGCTCTTGTAACAATTAATTTATCTGACTCTGATAGCTCGTCCATTCCTAAAATGGCAATTATATCTTGCAGGGATTTATATGTTTGAAGAATTTTCTGGACATTACGAGCAACGGAGTAATGTTTCTCACCAACAATTGCTGGATCTAGCATTTGCGAACTACTATCAAGAGGGTCTACAGCGGGATAAATACCAAGTTCAGCAATTTGTCTACTAAGTACCGTAGTTGCATCTAAGTGGGCGAAGGAAGAAGCAGGCGCAGGGTCGGTTAAGTCATCTGCTGGGACATAAATAGCTTGCACTGAGGTAATAGAGCCATGTTTAGTGGAAGTAATACGTTCTTGTAGCTCCCCCATATCAGTTGCAAGGGTTGGCTGATAACCAACTGCTGAAGGAATCCTTCCTAACAGCGCTGATACTTCAGAACCTGCCTGGGTAAACCGGAAAATATTATCTACAAAAAATAATACGTCTTGACCCCCCTCTAAATCTCGAAAACTTTCAGCTATAGTCAGCCCAGTCAAAGCCACTCTAGCCCTGGCACCTGGTGGTTCGTTCATTTGGCCATATACAAGGGTAACTTTAGATTTTTTAGAGTCATGGAGATT